TGGTGTTGAATACTACTGCTGCTGCTGCTGCTGCTGCCTGGTCAGCTGGTGGTCAGCTTTCCTCCATACTGCTGTTGGGGTCTGGGACCGTCCATATACGGAAGTGTAATAAGAAGCAGACCATCTCTCCTCCCTTTCCATATCCTCACATTCTAACACCCTTTCCATCTTCCTCTAATCTCTCATTCCCCCTTTCATTCCACACTTACAAACAACAGTAACACTACCATCACCACCACCATCGTAACAACCACCACAACCACCATTATGGATTTATCTTCCAACTAGATAACTTTAAATTCCATAACATAAAAAAATAATCTTTCTCCCAAGCAAACCTCTCGACTTAAAGCATCTACTCATACATTAATCCCTACGTTATTTATCTGAAGATTTGGGTAGATTCCCCTGAGGAACCACGACCACCATATCACGAAGAGTACTGCGGCTTGTTAATTTCTGCCTCGTTCCTGTAATTTAAAACAGTCGCTGTGTGGGGTGCAATCATGCATTAATTTCTCCTGTTAACCCTTTTGGGAGGCCTAGTTCCTAGGCCTTTTCTGTATGTATACGCTCTTGCGCTACCATCCACAGGATGGATATGGGATGCCTAATCACCTAGCCACTACCGTCCACAGGATGAACACAGAGCTCACAATAAAATCACCTCTTCGAACTCAAAAATAAACAGGATAGCCTTTTCCCTGCTACTGGAGGCCATTTCCATAACTAACGAGAAGGCAATTGTAAAGTGAAGGTTCAGCAATTAGTATCTGTGGTCAGGCAAAAAGTTTAGAGAATTCAAGGAAGAACCCAGAGCATGGGTTTGTTTGGTGCTGAGTGGGTTGCCTTGTGGGTACACAACACACCTTGTGGGTACACAACACACCTTGTGGGTACACAACACACCTTGTGGGTACACAACACACCTTGTGGGTACACAACATACCTTTTGGGTACACAACACGCCTTGTGGGTACACAATGCGCCTTGTGGGTACACAACTCGCCTTGTGGGTACACAACACGCCTTGTGGGTATACAACACGCCTTGTGGGTACACAACACGCCTTGTGGGTACACAACACGCCTTGTGGGTACACAACACACCTTGTGGGTACACAATACACCTTGTGGGTACACAACACACCTTGTGGGTACACAATACACCTTGTGGGTATACAACACACCTTATGGGCACACAACACGCCTTGTAGGATTTGGTGGTATGAGAATATAGTTTTACCAGCACTCTTGTATGGGTGTGAGGCATGGGTTGTGAATGTTGCAACAAGGAGAAGGCTGGAGGCAGTGGAGGGCAATATATGGTGTGAATATAATGCAGAGAATCCGTAGTTTGGAGATTAGGTGTGGGATTGTGTGGTTTGTGTGCGAGGGGCTTAGACTTCCAGCAAACGTGCGTGAGTGTGTTTGGAGCGAATGGAGACAAATGGCTTTTAGGACTTGACGTGCTGTTGGAATGTAAGCAAGGTAACATTTATGAAGGGGTTCAGGGAAACCGGCAGGCCGGACTTGAGTCCTGGAGATGGGAAGTACAGTGTCTGCACTCTGAAGAAGGGGTGTTAATGTTGCAGTTTTATAACTGTAGTGTAAGCATGACTCTGGCAAGACAGTGATGGAGTGAATGATGGTGAAAGTTTTTCTTTTTTTGGGCCACCCTGCCTTGGTGGGAATAAGCTGACGTGTTAATAAGAAAATAATATATATATATATATATATATATATATATATATATATATATATATATATATATATATATAATGCAAGGAATTCGCAAGAGCAGGCGAAATGTACACAAACACTGATCTCTGGCTGAAGGACACTCGAACCTACGAACCTTGGAAGAAGGTACGCAGTGCTATACCATTCTCACCACACTGGACCAATACCTTGGCGTCCAGCTTGCGCTAGACGTTTGATCCAAGGCAGCCAACTTTGCAGGGAGAAGGCTTACAGCTTTTCATCTCATCCCCTGCATGCATCAGCCTTACTAATTACAAAGTTAAAAGACTGTTTGTACATGGAACCTTCAATGATAGTTACAAGTGTTACAGTCATTACTATCTGTACTATCCCTCTGATCTTACTGGGTGGAAGTGGCACTCGTAGTTCAGGTGCTGGCACTCAGCTTGTCTACTGCCCTGTGATGGCCTGCACCTCATTGCTGACCAACACAATATTCCAGGGTATGAGCAACCCAAGAGGGGGGGGGAGGGTTGCCTTCATGAAGTGCTCTAGATCCAAAATGTGGAGCTACCATCCTCTTCCTAGGATCAAATTTGATTAATTCATATTCGTAATGCACTTATATGAATACAGACTTATAACTTTCTTAAGAATATAATAATAATTAATAATAGTAATTAATATAATAACTAATATAATAATAACAATAATAATAATAATAGTAATAATAATAATAATAACAGTAATAAAAGTAATAATAATTAATAATATAGTAATAATAATAATAATAATAA